TATATATATATATATCCAGTTCCTTCTTTCTTTTTTCCTTTCCCACATCCCAGTTGTTTCCTTTTGAGCAATTTCTTTCCCTTTCACACTATCCATCATGCCTTTCAGATTTTATTTACTCTTTCAGTTTCTTACACTAGGAAGATAGTATGACATTTACACATGTAAGTCTGATTCATTTCACTTGTGAGTATGGTCTCTAGTTGCATCCATGTAGCTGTAAATGCCTCGAGTTTATCTTTCTTTATAGTTGAGTAATATTCCATTATATAAAAATGCCACATCTTTTTCATCCATTCCTCAGTTGGTGGGCATCTGAGTTGTTTTCATGATTTAGCTATTACAAATTGTGCTTCTATAAACATGGCTGCGTACATATTGTTGTGGTATGATGTTTTTAGTACTTCTGGAAAATTACCCAAAAGGGAAAAAGCTGGGTTGAGTGGAACCTCTAATCCTAGTTTACTAAGCAAACTGCAGACTACTTTCCACAGTAGTTGCACCAGTCTACACTCCCACCAGCCGTGGAGAAGGGTTCCTTTTTCCGCACAGTCCCTCCAGCATTTGTTACTGGTTGATTTCTTGATGATAGTCATTCTTTCTGGAGTGAGATGGAATCTCAATGTTGTTTTAATTTGCATTTCTCAAAGACCAATTGTGTTAAACATTTTTCATCTATTTATTTGCCATTTGTATTTCTTCACCTGAAAAGTGTGTATTCATCTCAGATGCCCATTTTTGGGTTGGGTCTTTGAAGTTTGGCAGTCTGATTTTTTAAAATCCTTCATATATTCTAGATAGAAGTCCTTTGAGGGAGAGTTGGCTAAAATTTTTTCGATTAATTCTTTGGAGACTTTTTCTCTAAATATGGTTGCATTCTGAGGTACTGGGGTTGGGATTTCAAAATGTAACTTTGGAGGACAAGAAATGAACTTCAGATGATCACAGAACATTTTGTAATTCCCAGTATAACTCAGATATTGTTTTCTGTTAGTCATTGCTTATAGAAGTAATTATGAAACTCTTTTATGCTTTATTCAAAATTTTATCACAGAAGCAGCATGATAGTTGGCAAGTGTGTTGTTTATCACTTATTTCCTGTTCTCATTATCTTCCAGAAAAGTAACTCTTAATCCTTTTCAGGGATACATCTACAACTTTAAGAATTTAATTGAAAGCTAACTTGTAAAATTTTTTTATTTTTCACTTAATTTGTTTTTTGCTTCATTTTTAAAGAGAAAAAAAAACAATAAAAATGATAGCGAATTTCAAAACAAGATTATTGGAAATTAACAGTGGTTGTTATATTGCATATCATTATCTTCAAAGTAGTTGTTCAGATTATCAGATATAGGCATGCAAAATTGATCAAACAATATAAGCATTAACTATTCCTTTCAATGAAGTAATAGAAATTAGTAGCAAAAGCTAACTTTAGTACAAGTTAATTTTGTTTTGATAAACCACCTCAAAACATAATGGCTTATCCATTTTTTTTTTCTTTCAATATATTGTACGCTGGAAAATCATGCTGGTTCCATCCAAGATGGCTGATCACTTTATGTGTGTGGTCACATGATTGTTAATTATGTCCCTCACATTGGGTGGGTGGCTGGCTGTGGGCAGCATTAGTGCAGGTGATTGGCCATAGTTGCTCATCATCCAGCGGGCAAGCCTATGTGTAATCACGTGCAAGTGTTCACAGGGATTTCAAGAGCAGGAACAGAGGTCAACCCTCTTTAGCAAGTACTTTTCATGTCTTTTCTTGTACCACTTTTGCTGATGCCTCATTGATCAAAGCAAGTCATATGGCCATACCCAGATTCAAATTTTAAGAACCTGCAAAGCCACATTGCAAAGGTGCATGACCGTGGGAGAAGACAGGACTGTGTGGCCTCTAGTGAGTAAAAGGAGACCCTGTAAGGATGAGAAAACTAAACTAAAAAACTCTATTTTCGCAGGTGCTTTCCCCCACATTCAAAAACTGTCTTTTTAATAAAAAAAAAATTGAAGTCTATTCTCTGAAAAAGTACAGGTATTGGCTGGCTGTTGTGAGTGAAAAGAATAGGAAATAGAAAAAATTGAGGCAATATGGGTAGACCACTCACATCACCTATTTCCTGAGCTTTGGAAAGAAGAAGAAAATTTTTTGAGCTCTTAGGACATGAGAGCATGAGAAATTAGGCTGTGGGAAATCAAAGGTATTTTTTTTTCTGTTGAAAAAGTTATTTCTTGTTAAGAAATTTTTATATTTATTTATTTAGCCCTGTATATCATACCTTTCCATTTACTTATTTATTTATTTTTATTTTAAAGAGTAAAAACAATAAAAACAATGATTCAAAATTTCAAAGCAAGATAATTGGAAACTGACAATGGTTATACATTGCAAATTGTTATCTTCAAAGTAGTTGCTCCAATTGCAAGATATAGACTTGAAAAATTGATCAAACAATATTAGCATAAACCTTTCTTTTCAATGAATAATTTCTAGCAGTATAACTATCTTACCTATCTTGTATATATATATATATGTATTTTTTTTCCCTTTTCCCACCCTTCTTTTCTCCTTTCCCCATCCTGGTTTTTCTTTCCCTTTGAACAGTTTCTTCCCATTTCACAATATCTATTGTACATTTTGTATCTTACATACTCTTTCAGCTTCTCACACTAGGGAGACAATACGATGTTTACACATGCAAGTCTGACTTATTTCACTTATGACTCAGTGTAAGCAGTTGATAATGAGTTGGTAGTGTACACTTTTTACACACTTAGAACTAGCAAAACCTTGGAAATTTCAGGACAAACTTTGCCATTGCCATATCATTGAATTGAAAACTACTAAATATGGAAATGCTTAACTGTGAGGTCTCATAATCACACTTTCCTGTGTGAAATACACACTGTAAATCTTAAACAGGGAATAATTCTCAGCATCTAACAAGAATAGCATCTCCTTAATTATTTCTTGGTGGCAATTCTGATTTATGCATACCCTGATTGTTTTGATGCTGATTTATAAGTTCCTTTATACCTTGACTTACTATCAAAGCTAACTATTGATCTCTACTCCACTACTTTAGAAAGCTAAGCACAATTAAGTTTATTTTATAAATCTGGAGTATCAAACTACTTAATTTAGCTGTACTTGTATATGTTAGATTTTCATTTCTGCAGAAAATACCTGAGATTCTCAGAATAAAAAGAGGAATGTGTGGAGGTAGCTCACTGTGTTGGAGGTTTCATTCCATGGTCGTTTGGCTCCATTACTTATTTAGGTCAGTGATGAGGCAGCATGTCAGTGTGGGAGCACTTTCCTGCAGAAGCTCCTTACCTCATGGAGGTCGGAAAGCAAAGAGAAAACAGGGAGGAGCTGGGTACACCTGCATCGACCCAGCTTCCTTCCACTATGCCCCACCTCCAAAAGACTCTCCCACCAACACTGGAGCTAATGACCAAGCCTTGAACACACAGACCTTTGTGGGACTTTAAAATCCAAACTGTAGCCGAGTATGTGTGTGTGTGTGTGTGTGTGTGTGTGTGTTGAATGCTTTTAGTTCTTACTTGAATTTCACTCTACAAATGCAATATAGAAAACATCTATTAATCTGAGATATCCAAAAGAATTAGACTCCCCTCTACCTAAAATTAAATTTACAAAGATAATCCCCTAATCCCTCACAGATGAACTTCTCTTAATTGCTGCTTCAACTGGGTGGCAATTTCAGAAGAGGAGAACACGGTAGAGATTTTTCATTTCCTGTAACATATTTAAATATGAGCTTCCCCTCGCTTTATGACCTAGAGTTGAATAGCAAAGGGGGGAGGCCATGTCAGTCAGCTTTTCCATAATAATGCTGCATTTTTAATCATCAAGACAGCTCTCTGTCACTGAATAAGAAGTGTAGGGAACAGCTAAAGCTGGAGATTGGTCCTATGTGTGGGGGCAGGGCAGAGTCAGAGTGCCTGAAGCAGTCAAACTACCTCAGTTTTAAGAAGGAAATTCTGCCTGGACATTTTCAGTCATTAGTCACTAGGCAATCTTGTGTCTTGTGATACTAGCTTTACAAAAGTATAAACACCCCTACTGTTGTTGTTCAGTTCTTCTCCTCCCATCAGGGGAGAGAAGATCTCCACCTGACCCAGCTCTGTCTCTTGTGTGTCTCTTCCTCATTCCTCCCACCATTCCTCCCCATATTACACAGAGAACCCAATGAGTGACAACAAATAAGCATTTATTCTCAGACTCACAGGTCTGTAGTTCTGCAGGTCTCAGGCTGCAGGATAGGCTGTCAGGGATAGATCTGGTCCATATGTACGGTGTCAGACCCAGGCTGTAATGGCAGGACCTACCTGGGATACCTTCTCTTGGTAGTAGACAGAATCTCCTAGAAGGGAAATGGAAGGAAGCATGCAATACCTCTTAAAACTTAAGATTCTGCTCTGGTACGATGTTGCTTCCACATTCCATTGGCCACAGAAACAATCAACAAAGACAAGGGTAGGTAAGAACACTGCCCAGCAAGAGGTTTCAGTAAGGGTAAGGATGCACAGACCTTCAGAGTCGACAGAACTGGAGCTGACAATTTCATCTGCCCCAGGGATGGTTGTTTTCAGATATAAGCACATCCTCAGACACATAGTAGGTAGTGTTTTTATGGTCTATTGATATTTGTTTTTTGGTTTTTTTTTTTTGGTTTGTTTTTTTTCTGGTACCAGGAATTGAACTCATGACCTTGAGCTTGCCAGGCAGGCGCTGTGCCACTGAGCTAAATCCCCAGCCCCAGTCTATTGATATTTAGTGTTTAGCTGAATTGCTTCTCAATTCATCTGAGCACGGGTAATCTCAGAGGTATTTTGTAATATGTTGATTTGAAATAGTGACTAAGAGTTTCAAGTATTTTTTACACATCACCAACAACAGCTTGAAAATTGCATCTTCTTCCCGTGCTTTTCTCCCTTCTTCAGTATCCATTGACATCCTGATTTTGTTTCAGCCCAGAGGTACTAAAGAGTGAGCCGTATGGGGAGAAGGCTGATGTCTGGGCTGCGGGCTGCATCCTCTATCAGATGGCAACTCTGCGGCTGCCCTTCTACAGCACCAACATGCTCTCTCTGGCTACAAAAGTAAGCAGTGATGGGGACAGAAGGGTCTTGTGTTGCTAACAATGCCACTTCTGTTCTTCTTAATAGAGCCTTTGTGATCTTTATAAACTTCCAATTAAAAGCAGGCATTGTTTTATTAACTGTAAGAGCCAGTTTGCATCCCATCTTAATATATCACGTGGTATGGCATATTCCTTTAATCGTGTTAGTTTATCATAGAAAATTAGAGAAATAAATGTACCAAAACGCTTTTGACCTTTTATTTCTAATTGCAATTTAGATTGCCCTCAAGCCAACATATTATATAATCCCATACATCATTATGTTATGAACCTAAGGTTAACTTTAACTTACCTTAGAGAATCTCATTCCGTGTTCCAGAACTATTTAATTGCTGTTAAGTTTTTGTCCACAGTGCTTTTACTTGTGATTAAACTTTGTGCATGAAGTTACATTGCTTCATCGGTAACTTCATGCAGTGTGTAAGTATTACCTCTCAGTGTTGCCGAGGGCCCCTTTACTTCTGTCACTCTCATCTGTTTGTTTTGCAGATAGTGGAGGCAGTATATGAACCAGTGCCAGAAGGTATTTACTCTGAGAAAGTGACAAGTACCATCAGCAGGTAACCAGTCTCACAAGAATCACCAAGAAATATATGTGATGCTTCAGAGGCTGAGGCAGGAGGATTACAAATTTAAGTCCAGCACGGGCAGCTTAGTGAGACCCTGCTCCCCACCACCCTGGAAAAAAGTCTGGGAGTGTGAAAGCCCTGGGCTCAATCCCCAATTCTCCTCTCTCCAAAAATAAATATCTTCCATCTGCAAGTAAAATATTTATTTGAAAGGCTTTATATCAACCTGTAAAATGCATGTGATATGAACTTAAAGTAGTAAACCAGCAAGCAAAACTGTAACTATGAAAAAAAACTTCAAAAGTATGCACTAAAATGGAAAAAGGATAAGGCCTAATGAAACGGGAAAAGGCCATTTTAGGTGATAAAATTATAGGTGCATTTTTATTCCTTTCATTAAATTAGGAATATTGTGTTTTATGATAAAATTTCAAAGGTTATCAGAAGCTGTCCCCTTCATTGTATGAAATGATGAAAATGATGAAAATGATGAGAATGATGAAAATCAGCACCCCCTGCACTTGCCCCGTTCTGGCCAGTGTGCCTGGCTGCACAGGGCTGTCCCTGCTGCCCTCTCTGGCTAGTCCCCTCTCCCATTTCCCTCCAGCTCCCTAGGCTCCGCCCTCTTTCTACCTTCACCCTTGCTGTGTCTTTCTCCTGAAACTCTTCTCTCAGACATATGCGTGATACTGACCTTTACTTCCCTGGGTCTCTGCTGAAATGTCCCTTGACTGGGGAGTCCATCCAGACAGCCCCACTGGTCTCAGTGCTCTCTACCTCCCTTGCCTGCTTTATAAACTCTTTGCACCCGTTACTGCCAAAATAGTCTACGTTCATGTACGCAGTTATTTGTCCGCTGGCTGTCTCTTCCCCAGCAGAAAACTCAAAGCAAGAATTTTGTCTCCTTGGTTCTTACAGGTTCAGTGCCCACAGCAGAGTCTGCTGCAGAATAGACCTTTAATAAATGTGATTGTGTGAAGGAAGAACTCATTTATGTGGCTAATTGCTATTTTGGGGCCATTCTTTCATATTTGAGTTGGCCCAAGATGATTTCTTCTGCTCCTTCGAGCTAAACCAAGTCGTCATTACTTAAGATTGTAGAAATCCTAGTCACCCCCGATAGAATCTTTTTCTATACCCCTTCTCAGGTCTCTAAACCTTGGGTTGGTATCCATCCCTGCATGTAATCCCATCTTCTGGAGATTATGATTGGCATCTTTCGGTAGCTATTCCCTTTCTCTTTGGTTTCTCCTCCCACTTGACTATTTTGTACTAAATTACTCCTCACCTGTTTGTAAGATTATATCTCGAAAATTTTCTTGTTTGGAGTGATACTGTATTACAAACCTCAGGCTCTGGAGCCAGGCCTAGTTGGAGCAAAGTCCTACTAACCAGACGCTGGCCAAAGGATTTCTGCAGCTCTGCTTCCTCATCTAGAAAATGAGGTTGTAATGGAACCAGCCTCATTAAACTGATGTGATGGTTCTCCAAAGAACACTGGAAGATAGTGGAGGTGGTATATGAACCAAAATGTTAAATACTTTAGCAATTTTGGTAATTATCATTATTATTATTTATGGGACATTAGTTGAAACTTTTCTCTAAAGCATCTAAATTCCACCCCTTGGGTCATGCTTTGTTGCTAATGCATCCAGATAAATGCCTTTAAACGGTTTATCTCCATGATTTGTTCTCTGTATTTGTGCTCTTGAAAAGTACCTTAAAAATTGAAGAAGTCTCTAGAATTGTCAAGAGTACCACACTGGCTCATTTAACTTCAGTTTTTAATAGGTATTTGTGTGCCACAAAAGGGAGGGGAGGAGCAGTGCAGTGCAGCGAAAAAGGTTCACAGATATAGCTTTGAATTTGAGAAACTAAGCAACAGAACCACGACTTCTTGTGCTAGGTTCTCTGGCTATCAGTACACATGCTTCTTTGGACTTCTAAACTACTGAGGGAGTCAGATAGCAAGACCATAGTGTAAAAGGTAGAAGCATCACTAGATTGTGAGATCAGTTGGCTTCTAATTCTTCTTCCACTCAATTTACTTCCTGAGCCCAGTTTTCTCATCCGTAATACATGTGTAGCACTAGTAACTTCTTCTTGAGCTTAAGGAAGATAATGCTTCTGAAATGCTTTGGTTGCTACCTAGCATGCAATAATCCCCCAATAAATTAGATATTAATAATGTTACTAATATAATAGATAATTATGATACCATGAAAATTATAATAGTAAAATAATTCTATTACTTATGGCATTAAGTCTATAAAAATTATGATGAAAGGAATGAGGTTCAGTGAATGGGTCTATGAGAGATTAGGGAAGAATGGGGAATTTGGGGACTGTTTATCTGAAGACAGGATTTGTAATCTGAGACCAGAACAATCAATAATTCTTAAATAGTAAGCGGAGTAGAGAACACATCTCACAGGATAGCATTTCTACAGGCTTTGCTGAGGGGAAGAGCTGGTTCACTTGAGGAATGCGAACAAAGCTGAGATATAACGAGTTAAATATGGGAGAGAACACCCAGAAAATGGACTCAGGGCTGTGCAGGGTAAGAAGGGCCAGCTGGTGTAGGAGCAGTGGCCGTGCTGGGGTTCTGAATCATTATTTTGAGGACTGAGGAGAGAACGGAAGGACGATTAGCAGACTGGGACGCAGTGTGGAAGTCTCCTTTAGCAAAGAGCATACTGAGCGCTCTACGGGGGAAAGACAGAGGTCGGTGAGTGTGGGAGAAAGAGAGTCCACTGTCCACTGAGTGATGGTGGGGATTTTGACAGGCAGAGGGGAGAGAAGTGGGATTGTTTCCACTGTAGGTTGGAAACTGTCAGCACATTTGGGGTATAATCTTGAGAGGATTAAATAATACTGCAAATACCCTGGAAAGTGGAATGATTTGGGAAATATGAGAAGAATCGGATTTATTTCCTGGAGCTTCAGAATGTAGAGCCAAGATCAGGGCCTGAACTTAGCATCAGCTCACCAGTAAGAAGTGTATGTCAGAATTAGAGGCATCTTCAAGGAAGGAGTCTGCTTGGTAGGTCCTGAATTCAACGTCACCAGAATGTTTGAGAGGATGGATGATTGCCTGTTAGGGGCCTGCAGATGAAGTGTTTTTGAAGGGACTTTTAATGTAAAATGCTTAGTGTAAGATGTCATAGTACATTAGAACTGACAATTTAACTTTGTAACTGAATATGAATTAAGATTCAAGGGTGCATTCTGTAACATTATTTTCATTTAAATTTATTCAAGTCTCCTCATTGTCTGCGTTTGTATTACAAAATTTTATCTTTAAAAATTTATATAAAGCCAAAATCAATCAAGAGTTACATATGATTGTATATTTAATTTGCTTTGGATTTTTGTATTTAGAAATGAAGTTACTTGGCCAGGCATTGTTTTGTATGCCTATAATCCCTGGTCTCTGGGAGACTGAGGTAGGAGGATCATAAATTTGGGCTCAGAATTTAAATAAAATATAAAAAAAGGGCTAAAGATGCAGCTTACTATAAAGGTCCTGGTTTTAATCTCCAGTAACACACACAGATACACATACACACACATATGTAAATTGTAAAAGAATTAAGGGATATTTTCAAATTTTCTGTTTTCTCAGGTTACTCTTTTCTTTAAGAAATTGATATAAACAGCATATTCAAACCAAAGTGTATTTAATGCTCATTTATGATTCAGTGAAACATTGGCCTCAGAGCTGGTCACTAATAATTTGATATAGCCATCAAAATGTAAGATGACCATTGAGGGGAGAGTTTATGATAACCATTCTTAAACTGTTTTTCCCAATCATATATGTATATGTGTATATATATATGAATATATACATTCTTTCTTCCATTGTATTGACATCTAAATTTTAATTTCTAAATTCTTTTTAATTTTTATTTCTTTTATTGTATGCATTTTAATGTTTTTAATTTCTACGTTCTTATCAGGCAGACCTCATTGTTTGTAAGTCTACTGTGTAAAATCTTCCCTTTTTCCTATTTACTTATATGGTATATAAACACATTTTGTTATTGAAACTTTTCTTTCCTAGCAGGCTTTTAAATTGGAAGAATAATATAGAAACCCTTAAGTGTTTGGGACACAAAATAAATATATCTTGTTGTTCTGCCCAGTTACCAACATTACTATTTTTACCTTCCAGTCCACTGTTGAGAGTATTGTCTGTTTTCTTTTTTAAAAGGAAGAACATTTCCTTTTATGCACAAAATATTCCAATTGCCTTATTTCTCGCCCTGTGCCTGGTTGCATAAGCTGTCTGGCACTTTGTTTCGGAGGCGGTTGTGATGACTAAGGGAGCTAATGCTCGCAGTGCGCTCTAAGGACAAGCGGATCTTCACATTTTTCACCCCACCCTCAACTCTTTGTTTTATAAAACATGAAATGAATACAACTGAACACACTACCCCTCTATTTTTTTTCATCTGCTTTCAGAGTGGAGTGGGGACTCAGTGGGTGGAGTTGAGGGGAACATCCCAGAGTTTTTCTAGAACAGGATATATCCTTATTTGAGTAAAGAATCATGAAGCAAAGTACAGGCTGAAGATTTTCTATCAATCTTCAGCATATCTTATGAATCTGATTCACTCATTCTTTTTTTTTTTTTGTTTTTGTTTTTTGTTTTTTGTTTTTCTCCGGTACCGGGACACGACCTTGAGCTTGCCAGGCAGGCGCTTTTGCCGCTGAGCTAAATCCCCAGCCCCCTGATTCACTCATTCTTAGCAATTCCTCTGACACATCTAAATGAGGCATCGTTTCAGAGCAATGAGACTGTACTGGAACTTCTGGCTAGAGATGCTCATGGAAGTCCAAAGGTCTGTGGTTGAAAGTTTTGGGTTTTGGACAGGAAGTTCTTTGGACATTAAGCTGAGTTCATTTGTTCATTTATTCCCTGGCTTGTTCACTTTTCTGAACACTTATCGGGACCCAGATTCCACTTTACATGTGGAGAAGATCATAGAGAAGGGAAAAATATCTTTTACCCCTCATCAAATTTTCAGTTTAGTACTGAATCAGACTGTTACAGTACAATAATTATAATGGTTTTAAGCACTTAAATACAGACAATACAATGAGAGCATATACAAGGGAGCGGTAAGTCTGTCTGAGTACAATCCAGAAAGTACAATCGTGCTGGAGACATGGAAAAAAGTGTGGGGTTTCGACAATCACATCAGGGCTGATGTGTGGGAAATGGCATGGAGCCATCAGGAAAATTATCATAAGCAGAGAACTGGGGAACAGAGAGTCGGGCTGTTTGGGGGAGGTACTGGTAAGGAGCCTTGGTGTGTTATTAGGGGCCAGAGCCATGGAGAGGAGGTAAGGACCTGTTCAAGTGAGACCTTATGTGGCATCCTTGGCATTTACCTTAGTGGACATGGGAACTTATTGAAGAATTTGAGGAAGAGAGTGATGAGGGCAAATTTACAAATATTTTGGAACAACTTCAGTAGGAATCAAAGGTGGACAAGAAATGAGCATATTATTTAAAAGATATTTCAGTAGATCAAGTGAGGGCTGATGGAACAGACTAACAATAGTCATGGGATTATAGGAGAAGGGTATGGACTGGAAACGCATTCAGAAGGTAGAAGCCACAAGACTTGCTTTTGTTAAAGTAGGAAAGAATGGAAGAGAAATAAAAGAGGGAACTCTTTTCAATTTAGCGAGCTTTTACAATGTGCTGATACAGAAATTACTTCAGTTAATCACCATACCAGTTTAAGGAAGTAGATCATATTATTATCCCATTTTACAGATGGGCTATCAACACTTGGAAGCTAAATAATGTACTCAAGACAATGACTAATAAAATGGTGAGCTGAGATTCCAGTGCCAACAGTGGGATCCAGGACTGTGCCTTTTTGGATGGTGGCAAATACAGAGTGGGGGGAAACCTTGTGAGAGTAGGAGATAACGAGATGCCAGGAGGGCAGAGGCCACTCATCATTTACTGTAATACTGTTTATTACTAAAACTAGTGTAAGATACTTTTTTGATTAAAGAACTCAGCTGATAATTACCTTGAGTCGGTTTAAAAATCAGCATTTAAGATTTTAAAATGCTTGCATATTATAACGAAAGGCTTGAATATTTGGGTTTTTGTTGATTCGTTTGCTCACATGGTAGACATAAGCAGCACTAGGGCAATGAAGAATTTTATCAGTTTTAAGTAACTTTACTAATTCAGTGAGGATAATTTAATTAGAAGCTAAAAATCAACAACTGAGCTTCTTTTGTTACTAAGGGCAAAAGTAAGAAAATATGAACATGTCATTACCGCGTAGGCACTGGCTGCCCAATGACTAATATTATGTCCCTGTGCCCAAATCGTCCCGTTCTTGGGGTATCAGCTCTGTATCTTGAAATTCTTAATAATGTCCTCTTTGAATTTGCATTGTGGAAATGAAATCCAGAGAGGCAAGGAACATATGCTCCAGGCTCGGAGCTTCAGGTCATACGAAGTCCCTTCAGCTCTCTGCCCTCTGGCATGAGTTTTCAGCCATTAGTCTTCTGGTCCCCCGAGCTTCCTGCTAACCTCTGTCTCCATCTCCCTGTCTCCATCACCACAGCTGCCCTCCGTCCAAGGTGGGGTTGTGTCAGGAGGGGAGGTGTACACTACTTTCACCTTCCTCCCTAGAGGGAATGGGGAAGGAGGCTAGAAAATAATCAGCATGGGGCAAATAGCCGATTGTGTCTTGTAGGGCAAGGCAGAGGTCATTTCTGACAAGGCTGGCAAGCATCCTGGCACATTGGGTGGGCCATCCAGTGGTAAATTCTTCATCTCCAGTTCATGCACCAAGTATGTTCTAACTACACAGAAGTTATGATCTCTCAGAGGCCACCCATCTACCAGCAAGGGGGAGACTGACTTCTCCACTCTTATTTCCACTTTGCAGTTGACACCTGCAGATTATGTAGATGGCCCTGTTTCTACAATCGCTTGGTTAAGTTTGTACATAATGAAATGCACAGAGTGAACTTTGTTAAATATGAATACAGCAGATGTATAAATGTCTGTCATAATCATAATGCAAGTCCATTGCTTTAGAACATAAAAAGGAAAGGCATAAAGTTAGAGCATAAAATGATAGTTTTAGAACCTGATTAAGACTTATGTACTTTACTCATAGTTAAAAAACTCAATAAAAAAGAATCATGAGCAAATTATCATGTGGAGTCTTATTTCAACTTCTGTTATGAAGAATACTTCTGTAGTGAGGGAGACTGTATAGTTGGAAGTTGCATTGATTTAGTATGAGTTGCTAAATCATGCACAAGATGAGAAAGTTATTTTCCTTAGAATTCAATAAAGCTAAATTTTATGGAGAAGTACACATGATTTCCATGAAATTAGAGAGTTTGAGTTTCAAAATAGACAACATGCTATAGTGGTTGCCAAAAGAACTTGCATGATTTTGATATTTGGTTTTATGGGCATAGAGAATAATAGCCTTCTAGTAGCATTTAGCTGTGATATGAATAATATTTCTCTTTAGTATACTTATTGACACTTCCTAACCCCCAAAATTATAAAAAATATTAGCATGCAATATAGCAAAATAGTTACTTAAACAAAATTACTATTTTTTGAAAGAAAAATAAAACTGGAAGCCACATTTTCAGTATTCCCCAATCCCAGCTGTCCATAACTATGTCCAAAATTTGTCATCCAGATTTTTTTCTGAAATTCTAACTCCTCATTAATTAATAAAACAAAGCCTTTGTATCTTGGCAACACGATTTAGTGAAATTAAACTAGCAATATGTAGAAAAACTCAGATTAAATAGCTGCTCTGTTTGCATTAAAAAGAATGAGAGTGTTCAATGGCTAACCACAAAAAAAGTCAAAATACATCCTCTTTATGTTTCATAAATTCTGCTGTAAGTCCTGCTTCTCTCTCTCAGTTCAAAGAGTCCTGGCTTGTGAACTACTCTTTTGTATGTCCAAGAAACTTCTACGATTTAAGATTTGAGCTAATTATATTTTTGATACCAAAAACTTTGTAAACCTCTATGTAACTGGGCTGTATTTTTATACTTAGGACTATATTTTGTATGCCTCCTACAAGTCAAATACCGTTAATATTGCAGTATGCAGTTTGAAAGGCCCCAAAGCGACCCCCCTAACTTTCCTTTTTCGGTTGCATCAAAGATGGTTGTCAGCACTTTTATGATTGGGATCCCTCTTGTTCACTGACAATTAAATTTTGGACACAGTTACGGACAGCTGGGATTGGGGTGTACTGAAAGTGTGGCCTTGTTTTATTTTTCTGTTAAAAATAGTAAGTTTGTTTAAGTAACTATTTTGCCGTATCACATGCTATCACTACTGGCATTATTCTCCAGATGCAGCCAGGAGACACAGGTAAGACCACTCCAACATCCTCTCCTGAAACCTAAGGAGCGGCTTCACGTTCAGCCACTACTGTCTGCCACCCAAAATGCAAAGTAGTAGTCTTGCCTCCTCTCCTCCCAGCTTTCCCAGTTTCTTTCGAGAAGGCTGGACTGAAAGCCATGCTTGATGCCTATCTTATCCTACGTTTTCTTGGGTGCAGATACCATGGTTAACACGGAGTGAAGCTTAACCATGATGCTTCACACTCTTCATTTCATCCCAACATTCACCAATGTTATAAAATGCATTATCAAAATGTACTGTGAAAAAAAATACTATGAATGTTCAAATGTTAAAAAATATTATAATAAAAGATACATTGCGATTAATCTTCCTCAGAATTCTCCCTCCCCCTCACTTTGAACATACTGATCCTAATATTCTTGCCACTTTTGAAGCAGATCTGGAATTCCTCTTTCACTTTAAACATGCAGTAAATAGTACTCCTGAGTACCATCCAGTGAAAAGCCAGACTTGTAGAAACATGTGTGTCCTCCTCCACCTTATTCACCACATCTGTCACTGTGTGACTTCTGGCTCTTCCCCAAAGCCAAAATGGCCATGAAAGGTTAACATTTTGGATTGACTCAGGACATCAAGGCCACCATGACAAGACGAAAGACATGAAAAGAAGCCTTCCAAAACTGCCTCAGAAAGTGGCACGAATGATAGGATAAGTGTGTTCTAAGCAAGGGGGAGTGTTTTGAAGGAGATTAATGACAATGTATCTTTTATTGTAATAAGATTTTAAAAGATTTAGATATTTACTCTATTTTTTAATCACAGTTGTAATTAGCTTATTTTCTTTTAGGTGCCTCACTCCAGATGCAGAAGCCCGCCCAGATATTGTAGAAGTCAGTTCAATGATATCAGATGTCATGATGAAGTATTTAGACAATTTATCTACATCTCAGCTAGCCTTGGAGAAGAAACTGGACCGGGAACGGAGGCGCACACAGAGATACTTTATGGAAGCCAACAGGAATGCTGTCGTGGGTCACCATGAGCTGGCTCTGCTATCTCACGTAGGTACAATTCCCTCGATCTCTCCATAACGCCCTCTGATAGGCTGTCCTGAAGCTGTTCCTGCTTGTTTCAAGGATAATTAATCTATAGGTAAAAAATGTTTGATACCTGAAAACTAAAATAATATAACTGACCTTCCATAAAACAAATCCAGAATTTACTGTACATTGCAAAATCAGAGGTGTTAAAAGTCCTTTTAGCATTTCTTCAAGTTTAAATTATGGTCTTTGTATAAATAGCACTGACTGCTTATATTTACTTCCTTCAGCAATCTGATTGCATCTTTTGGGAACATGGATAGAAATGTGAGTTAATTCAGAGACAGAAATAACATTTGTTTCTTCAAATCTTCTTACTAGTCTTATTTAGTTGCTTTCATTATTGTTCGTGGTGATGATGTTGTTACTAGTTTCAAGTTGGAATTTTAAAAGTTTTTCTTGCCAGTAGCCTTTAGATTGTTTTGATATTTAAATGTATTTGTGAATATAGGCTGAAGAAGTGATGCGGCAACTACAAACTTGCACATGTTCAAGTGATAATGCCAGCGAGGTCCTTGCTGCTGAGGTCCTTATTTTTCTTCTTCTGTGTTTTTACTGTGATCTTGACTCACGATCTACCCTTCTGGGAACCCCCAGTAGGGACCTGGTACTGGGCCCTTCAGCCCAGTAGATCTTCTTTACTTCTATTCTTATGGTAGGGTGCAAGGCATAAAGGATCATAAAGCGCTTTCTTTCTTCTTTCCTTTTCATTTTTTCTTTCTTTTGTTTTTTGGCCAGGGTGCCTGGTCATTAAATTTCTTCCCAAGATCCTAAGGATTTGATGTACTTCAGTTCAGAAAGTTACATAAGATGCTGATTTCAAAGAAGAGGTGGTTCCAATTTCTTGAATAACAACATTTCCAGTGAATTCTTTTCTGAAAAGAAGGAAAGTACTATTGTTTAGTGGGTTTGTCTGGAGGTATTTGGGAGCCAGGAGTTGAAGATTCAGTGCAATTATTTTTTTGAGAGATAGTCTTTCATTTTCCTTGCCTTAAATGCTGAGCTTAGCTGTAATTTCACAGAGCAATCTGTGATGATTTTCTAAGGCTCTGGGTTATGTTTAGCAGCATATAACTTAGAGTTACAGCTCTCTTTGAGCACAGGCAGTTAGAGCTCACTTTGCTTCTTATTTTGTGGCCTACTTAGTAAAGGCTAAGTAACAATAAGAAACACATCATTCTATGTATGTCATATTGATTCCCAAATATTCTTAGTAGACTAAAAATGCAAGAGATTTCACTATTTCTATGTATCTCACATATGTGGAGCCTTTTATTAAATTCTGCACTGCAAAGTCACTTAACCAATTTCCGGTTCCAGCCAATATGAAGGTGGGTAGTGTTAGTTTGAAATCTAACATCAGAAATCCTCTTATCTTTAGCAGAACACCTTGAGGAAGATCATTTTAAATATTTATTTTCTACATCTTAGCTCTTAAAAAAAATCATTATCATGGAGAATTTCAAATTTAAAGGCAAAGTATATTTCCTGTACCCATCTTCCACCTTCAACAATTAACTACTTGTCACTAAACCTGTGTCAGTTATTTCCCCATCCTGCCTTTCCCAGATTATTTTGAAGCAAATCCCAGATACCATATCATTTCACTCATCATTATCTCACTTGTATTTGGAGGATGATTTAATTATAGAAACCTAACTCTCAGGTCATGGCCAGTTTTGAAAGTCAAGAGAAGGGTTATGAGGGTCTTCAGGTGGAACCCTACCCTATAAATTGGGGGGGGGATATACCTGTTTCAGAAGATGCCAGGGTTAAATAAGTTAATGTGTTTGAAAATACTTTGCAACTTTGAAAAGTTGTATAAAATGATAAGATAACATCAATGATATAAAACAAGAAAATCTGTTAAAGGAGTAGTTTGTTGGTGCATCTTGCTGACTAATGCTAATCTGTCCAAGTTATGTGTTTCAGTCATGCAGTTGAAACACATTTATGATCACCTGTTGTAACCAACCTCAAGCAGTGACCTCCTGGGGCATTCAGTTTTCTATAGGCCATGGAGAAATGCTTAACTTCAAAGCCAAGCTTGTATTACTGCTTTAGAGTCGTGTAATACCTTCTCCTTATGCACTGTTTTAAGTGTACTGATAATTTTTCCTTTTGAGATTAATCATATGTAAATTAAAAGGAAAATCCAACTTTACTAAAGAAGGAAGCAAGAAATGTTATTGTATTTTATCAAAAGAAAGCATACAGTTACCTGGCCTCCTCACTGGGTGCCAATTATTATTTTTTAAAGCATGTGCACCAGTGTTGCCAGAAAAATTATAGGTGTAAAATGTTATCCCTTTTTTTTCTTAAGCAGTATGATGATTGTTTCATTTCAAATATAGTAACATATTCTTCCAGAGCAGTTGACTTCAGTGGTGCAGTTACATGATCCAATGATAGATGATAGTCAAATGGAAGAGAAATTAGTGGGTTCTGTGAAACTTTATGAATTTTCAGCATCAATAAAGAGATCCACTGTGAATTACTGAAATTTTACAAATTAGTTGGTAAGCAAATAATTAATAAGAAGTATTTAAGGCTCATGCTTACTTTCACATTTTAGCTTATTAATTATGGCAATTTTTATAATGGGCTACTAAAGAAAAGTACAAATGTATATTTCTAAAGGAGAGAGAAGTCTTCACTAATACAGTTCACTCTTGTGTACTATGGTTTACCCACTGGGAAAGTGAAGTAAAACATTCCTTTTGAAGAACGGTAACCTTTAATTTTGGTAGCTCAAAATAAGAGACCATGAAGAAAGCACCAAGGTGAGAATAATAAGAATAACTCAAAATAAGACAAGGAAAAATTTTTACTTAAATGTCAATAATTAAAATGATATTATAATAAAGAGTGTTGTGGTACTATAATAGTTAAAACCAGGATGAGTATTTTGGTGCTGTTGATAAAGTGTTGAATACATAGAATCATTACCTTCAGATATTATTTTATATCTGAGACAGAAAAATTAGCATAGATATATCTAAAAGGTACACTCTTTTGGTCTTCACCAGCTAATAGAAGGATGACCACTAAAAAAGTCCATACTGGAAAAAATCTGGAAGATCAAAGGAATACTTTCCATTTCATTCACTGTTTTGGAATTTTGAGGATACAGCTTTAAACTAATATTTACAAAATGAATAAAGAGTATACCTATGTGCACAGGTGGAACTGAGCTGAATATTTCAGGAGGCTGAGAGTAGTCATAACAGAAGTGTCTTCTCATGGTGTGAGATTTGTAGGAATTACTGCTTCTCCTTCAACAATGTTTGGCAGGAAGTTTATCTTTACCTCCCATTTTAAAGCTGAAAGGTGGTTTCTTTCTACTCGTTTATTTAGTTTACTATTTTGGAAACTGCTTTCACATCCAGAAGCACTTTTCAGGGAGCAACACAGAGACAGAAAAATTAAAAATGCTTACAGTGTCCAATGAATACTGAAATAACAAGAATTTGTTGAATGTCTTCTGAATGTAAGGTATCGTGTGTGATAATCTGAGGATTATAAAAAATTACAATGGTCCCATTGTAGTTTATACTGTGCCTAGGAGGACAAAAGAGATAAGCATTTTCAGGAGGTGATTTCTAAGGACAGAGGAGAATTTGAGTAAACAGCAATGAGATATGCAAAGACATTTAGCGAAGCTCCCATAGCAAGCAGGGAAGATCAGAGCTTGATCACTGAATATACAAGTCACTCATGGATGGAAAAAAACATCAAAAGTTTAGAAACTCCAGCCATACATGTGTAGCTCACTCATGACTAAGAATGAAGACTTAGCAATAGTATTGTTGTATTCTTTAATTTAGTAGACAGGGAGAGGAAGCCAGAAGATAAGAGACATGCCTATGGTCAAGCTGCAAGTTCTGGCCTATCCAAGGACTACCACTTAGGTTTGCTGACTTACAATGAATCTTCTTTTCCTTTTTATTTTAAAGAGACAAAAAAGAAGAAAGTAAAAAGAAAACTCAATAAAGATAATGTGGAATTTCAAAACAAGATGATAGGAAATGAACAATGGTTATTATATTGCATATTGTTATCTTCAAAGTAGTTGCTCAGATTACCAGATACAGGCAGGCAAAACTGATCAGACAATATAAGCACTAACAGTTCCTTTCAACAAACTAATAGAAATTAGTTGTAGAGTTATCTTAGCTAGCTTATGAATATATACATATCTTCCCCCCGCTTTCATTCTATTCTTCTTTCCCCCATCTCAGTTTTTCTTTCCTTTTGAGCAGTTTCTTTCCCTTTCACTATATCCAGTGTACCTTTTGGATCTTATTTACTCTCTGAGTTTCTTACTCTAGGGACACATTTATAGCAGCACAGTTTGTCATAGCTAAATCTTGTAAACAACCCACATGTCTATCAACCAAGGAACAGATAGAAAAGATGTATTCTTACAATGGAGTACTACTCAGCTATAAAGAAGGATAAACTTGAGGCTTTTATAGGTAAATGGATGCAACTAGAAACCATACTCATAAGTGAAATAAATCAGAATCACATGTGTAAACATCATAATGTCTCCCTAGTATACGAAACAATAGTTTTTTTATAGGGATAGTTTTAAAAGTCTAGGGGAAAAAATTTTTGTAGATGGTGAAAGGTTGAATACCTCGCTGAGGTGTTTGAATTTAATCCTGTGGGTATAGTGGACTAAATACTCGAATTCTCCAAAGCACTAAGCAAGCAAATTTCCAGACTAAAAGCTAGTTCTTGTTGGTTGTCCATGCCCCCTTCTTGATATTTGTTCTTCTTTGGTTTCACCGCTCTTCTCTGCTCTGGTTTCCATCTTACCTGTCTGAATACTCTTTCTCATTTTTTCCTCTTATCCCTGGCCTCTTAACTTTCAACATTCTGCTTTTCTCCTTGAACTTGCCTTGATTTGGCCCCATTTAGCCTCATGGTTTTTCATTTCATATGAATTTGGGAAAAAATCCACCATGCAAAAATGTTATCTTTATTTCTGTAGTCATACACGATTTTGTTCTGAAGTTCTATTTCTACTGACGACGGTAGGTGGAACACGTGGCCAGTTCCAATGCTATCACTCTCCTTCCCATTTTAAGGTTTCTCTTCTTTGTCTCCCGTCCTCAAGATGGCAATGAGGTGCAGGAAGAAGCTGAAGCAACCCCATGTCAATCGAGGGGACAGCGGTTCTCTGTGACCCCTTCCTCGGTTTGTTGGCTTCTGCTAACCTCAGATGAAGTGAACCTATCTCTGATTTCATAACACTAACCTCTGTTCTTGCTCAGTGTTTATAGTGTCTGTCACTCAGCCTCTCTTCTCAGTGTGGTTTATTTCGGCCCAGTGGAGGACCCATGATGCCTCAGTTCCTGCTTGTCTCCTGGGGTCTGATTGTGACTTTCTTGGTGGCATCCTTAGTTTAAGATTAAGAACTCTTCTCTATGTCCCCCAAGGAAGTGAGGGGCTGGTGAATTTGCCAGACAGCACCAGTGCTCTTTCTCATTCACCGTGGGACAAGGCAGGAGACTTGGGTTCCTGTTGCTGTAACACATGGCCCATTAGGACTCCACTGGGGATGGGGGCGCTGTCTTAGCCCCACCAGCTTGGCCACCTTCTTCATTTCTTGCTGCTCTCCTATCCCAGGTGTCTGTCATTAGGTGCTAGTATTCCAGGTACTAAAGATACCACAGCCACAAAGGTAGACAAAGACTCTGGCCTGTTGAATGCTCAATCAACCACATTGTATATGTCATTCTGACCATCATGAAACTTCTCGGGAGGATCAGTTTTTTCTGGCTGTACCTGGATTTCCCCCTCACACCCGATTGAATCAGTTCCACTCAGATTATCTAGGATTTATCTCCCACTCTTAGCCACCCTC